TTTTGAGAAAATGGTGATTAAACATTTAACTTAAAAATTCTTCACTAGTACGGCAATATACCTAAGCCTGCGCTGCCCGTCAGACCAGCAGTCCTGCCAACCTTACGTATATCATATATTCAATAAACTTTTCACACCTCCACTCGAAACAATCCACTCCATTTAATCAAAGACTTTTCACACCTCCACTCGAAACAATCCACTCCATTTAATCAAAGACATTTCATTAAATTTTTCACTTACTGAAACCTGATATATCCGGACAAATTTTATCGTGAAAAGATTTTTTTAATGAGTAAAGCGCACACAATGAAATCTAGTCAAAAGAATTTCCTTTCACTCAATGATCAGCTTTGTTGTCAAAAAATATTGTTCTCAACTCAACAGTCAAAAGAATTCAAACAAAACAATTACTTGAGACAGTCACCATACGTTTGATGTACACAGGTAGGTATGTGGATGGAAAAATATTACGCTATTTGGTGTATTAGGCTGAGTACATATTTGGGGCAATGCATAAATAGCGCAGGTGTATAAACTTGAGGGGAGGCTGTCCTGCGGGATACCTTTGCCTATATGAAATGACGGCACGCAAATAATATAACTTGGCAAGGGAATGCGTATATAATATTTTACTTTTTCGCTTCACTTATAACTTCTAGTCTCATACGATAGTAACCATTCCGTGGATATGTCGTTGCTTTGCATGGATAATACAATCCCAAATAGTATTTGAAAATCAAACAAAATATTTCGTAGTCGTAAGTTTTTTAATATTTGAGCAATAGAAAAATGTAATGTAAAAATCAAATCAACATTAATGAAGGTCCAGTTAAAAACTGAATTTTTAGGTTCGTAACTTCAAATACCATAATTATTTAATACCGCACAGTGTGCGGTATTCGACTTACGACAAAATTAGTTCTGTTACATTATTATGAATAGGAGCATAAATCAAAATGTAATATTTGTATAGTCCTCCATTTCTATGTAAGAATGACATAATAGGGTATTTGACAGTATTCAAAATAAAGTGTCAATTGTTAACATCTATGTTAAGAATGAATATTGCCAAGGATTTTCACTATTTTTAGAGAAAAAATATTCATAATTTTACTAAAAACCCACGAAAAAGATTATCTTATCTAGTGTAATAGTTTTCCTATCTATTGTCACGTAACGAAAAACGTTTGGGATTGGCAGAGCCTAAAATGACGTCACACACAAGTAAACTTCCGGTTATAGTGACATTACATTGTATCGTTTGACGTTTTAATAACAGTCGTGTGACGTCACACACCAGTGAGACGCCACATTGTCCAGAGAAACGTTTTCGAGGCAACTTGAAAATGGAGTTTTTGATTTGGTTATTTTAACTGAAATACACAACAGAATGATGAATATCATCTTTTATTAAGGACTCCATAAACAATAGTAAAAAACGTGAGATCGTTTTCTAAAACTTGTCAAATACCCTATTAGTAATAAACACCTAGAAGAATATACATATTGTTTTAATTTACCTTTCATGGTCACTAACATTTTAGCTATTAACGGGATTGTTACCATGCACAACCTTGTTTTTTATGAGTCTCCGATATTTCGGCACTGTTGCAAGCGCCATCATGATCACGGAATAGCTGATACGCAAAAATCAGCAATAACTTCAGTTACTTCGTGATCATGGCGCTTTCAACAGTGCCGAAATATCGGAGACCGATTTTCGTGTAATTTTATATGCATATTCAGTAGGTCTCGAAGAATCGGACAACATCTATTTTTCATCCTCCTAAATGTTAAGGGTGGTGGATAGCTAGTAATGTTTATATTACTAGAAAAAATCCACGCGGTCCTGGCAGCAGACGGGCCCCGAACCCGCACCCGACGCTATCCGGGCGATTGCACTGACCATTATGCTACCGCAGCCCTGACGGCCTTATCGAATTGTTTCTAGTCTTTCTTAAGCTGCAAGGCAGCGCCATCTCTTCGCGTTGTAGGTAACCCACAATGGCTAATGAATACCTTTACAAGTATTTAACATTTCAATTAGAAAAGAAATAGCAGTTAAAGTTATAATATTAATGTTTTAAGCATGTAACTGTTCGATATATGAATCTAAAGAAAAAATTAAAGAAAAAAAAACTATTTCTATTTTTCTACATATATTTTCTTTAGATTTAAACATCGAGCAGCTACATGCTTAAAAAATAAAAATAATATTTAAATAATGTTTGTTTTTTTATCCCACATGTGAGGCCTGTCTTTATACACTTCTATCACTCGAGACCAAACTTCATGCTCATTATGATCTGCCGCCATCTTGGTCGAAATACATGCTCTCCGTGTGACAGTGACCAACCAACTGATTGAGAAATTGCCCGATCACGCTACACACGTGGGAACGTGCAGGGCGGCAGGGACAATCTAGGGACCAAGGGTGCTCTCGCGCTCCTGCCACCCTGCCGCAGACCCGATTCAGAAAATTGCCCCTGTTTGCCTACACTACCTATCACAATTTAGGAGGCCATCAAGGGTCATCCCCACTCTTACACCCTAGATTGCCTCTGCGGCAGGGATGTCAGTAGCCCGCTTAAGCTAAATAAATAGGCCTCGTAGTTAGTAAGAGAATGACACAAAAGACACATCTCTTCAGCTTTGAATAGGGAAACTAATTTTAAATAATGTATAGTGCGTCTCTATGGGCTGAAAGTCCTGAGACCTTTACAAATACATGAAGGTGATATATTTATTTCCCAAGACAAAATATAGTTAGTTTGCCTTCGGACAGGATTTCTTCTAATTCTTTCCTTCACTACTTTGACTCCCATTTTCGTACGAACACTACGTAGATGGCCAGATCTTTTTCTGTTACAAATATAACTATGGGTTATTTTCGCTGCGCGATCTGAATTGCAGTTAATTGTATCGTAATTGTATAAGATGGCTGAATTAAAAGTTGCCGCCTTCATTGCCGAACATACCTCGCTATTAACTGTAGATCATTTAATGAAGGTGGTCCCTCGGTTAGATGTTTGATCAGATATATTGAACTTCATCAAACCAAGTGTTCCATGTTAATTCAAAACGTATGAAGTCCATGTATGCTTGATGATTTTCTTAGAGAGATTGGCGATTTCCCATTTTCCTTGATAATTGATGAAATTAACGATCTATCAACACAAAATATATTATACAGTACAAAACGCTTGGAAATATATAGAGATTTATATAGTACTCGTTGGCTTGCGCGTTACTCAGCTACTGACACAATTTGAAACAGTGGTGTGAATAGCAATTGCTTTTTTCTTTGGCGAAAATGGAAGACAGATATTATATGGCAGAAAAAATATATAACATTATGAGACGGCCTGCATACAAAGCTTAAGTCATTTTTTTGAAAGATGAATTGCAAAGCGTTACTCAAATAAACACGCTGTTTCAAAGTGAGCACGCTGAACCGACAAAATTGTTGGAAGATTTGTTTCTTTTATACAAAAAAGTACTCCAGAAATTAGTAGTTCCTTCTCAGCTACAGAAACTGCACGATAATGAATTGGCTGAATTTAATTTTTAGTCGCATTTGATGCATACATAATCTATAAATCTTGACTATAATTTTGAAGAAGTAACCAAAACTCTTACAGAAAGAGATTCATTGGATGTAAAAGAAAGGTGCAATAAGTTTCTTTGCACTTTGGCTACTGAAATGCAAAAAAGATTGCCTGAAAATTTATCGATTCCCAAGATGATGAAAAATTTAACACATGAAGTTGCCACATCGCAAGTAAGGCCAGTTTAATAACTCTTTTGGAAAAATTCCACCGAAGTTCCGTTTATGGCAACAAAAATGACGTCGAATCAGAATGGCATCAACTGCAAAATTGATGCCATTCTGATTGATTGATTGATTGCATTCTATGCAGAAGTATATACCGATTGCGATGCTGGTAACTGCAAGCGATTTGGAAATATTCAAAATTTGCTTTAGCATTATTGACGCTGCCTGTTTCCAATGCCTCGGTTGAGCGTGCTTTTTCTATGGTATAATTAAAAATAAACTGAGGAACAGGTTATCTCTTATAATGGTACAGAGTATCATGATGGTACGTTTTTCCTTAAATCGGGATTATGGATCATGTGTATACTTTAATCCCACTGTTGCTATGATAAAGAAATTCAAAGTACGTATGTGCGACTTTAAAAATGACACGATTAGTGTCAGTTCTGGAAATAATTAACAACTTTGCATGATAAACTAACACCCAGTTTCTGAAAGGCAAATCAAACTAAAAATTAAAAAATAATTATCAAATCTTTCCGTTTTTATCACAGTCCTAATTTTATAAATAAAAGCGTGTTACATGCTAAATTTTCTTAATTATACCATCAAAATGTAATATAACACTCTTTTATTTACAAAATTGGGACTGTGATAAAAATGGGAAGATTTGATAATTATTTTTTACTTTTTAGTTTGATTTGCACTGCACTATACTGTCTTTTTCTGCATGGCTATCCCAACCCAAAATTTTCTCTGCTTGAGTATATTTAGGGGAGTATTTACCCTAATTTCAAAATACGACGCCCCTGAGGATATTTAAATCTAAAAGACCTAGCACATATCTAGGTATCTCTAATTGGAGTTTGATTAATTGAAACTGGCCGTTGACCATAGTCATTGAGTATGTCGGTCTTATGTTATGACTAACGGAAAATGGAAATATTTTTTTCTACTAAAGATTTCAAATCTGAAACCATAGACATCCTGAAACTATTTATTGATAGAGTCATCTATTTCCACATTTATAAACTAAGAAAAGATTGGACATCTCCTGAAACTCATAACAACGCCATCTATTTACATAATTATAATCTAAAAGCTTGCTGTCTTTCGTGCAGGCTATTGCTTTTGCAGTACTGTTCTGCTGCTATCAAACTGTGTATTGCTCGTACAGATGGCGCTACAGGCAACATTGACATTTCTCTCAGCAGTCCTTCAAATGACCTTTGAATGCTGCCCTCTCGTCGACTTGTTCAATTTGACAGTAGTACCAACTGAGTTTCGGTTCGGGAGTGTCTGTGTCCTCAGAACAAAAAACTTTTATTAAAACCTGTAAGTAATAATTGCATATTTTTGAAAATTCTGAGATTGCCATTTTTTGCAAATGTCGAGTATTCGTCGTATTTTACAATCATTTAAAATTGACTTTGGTTAGTAGCTTTTATCTAGGGTTATGACGTTTAATGTTTCACTATATTGTTCTTTTTATCTAATGCCGGAATTTATTATTAGGCCCATTTTATCACCACTTTTTAAAAGATTTACCTAATAATTAATGGACAAACATGGCTTATCCTGTAAGAGTTGACAAATTATTTCATCAGTCATGTAGGTAGTCACGTACGTCCCTAGTTATTTTCTTTTCCTCGTTTCAAGTAAGTTTATAATAAGACCCTTCCATTGATTTTAATTTTTAATAAATTACAGGGACCCATCTATCTAAATAGTTTGTATTTTTGGAATGATTTTTATATAAGTACTTAATTTTTTTTTATTTGTCTGGAACTAAGGAAATATTGTACATATAATTAAAATTAAATTCATGAATAAATAGGATTTTGCTATCAATATTTGGATTTATTCCCGATGCACATGTTCAAAATCCCAGCCCTTTGAGATGTCGTTTTTCAGTGACCTTTCAAGGTCACCTTCGTAAATGGGGTACGATGGAGTAAAAAATACCTATACCATTTTTTTTTATTGACAACGATGATTTTTATGGCATGAAGTTTAAGGTTTATTATGAAAAATAATTTGGTAACCAGATTTTTTAGTCACCTTCACATTGACCGCGAACATGACCCAAAGAAAATAAAGTCTGTAGGAGGGTATAAAAATGCGTACTTAAAGTGACTTAAACTGAAAAAGAATAATTGTGACATTTTACTTGCTTTGCTAGTTAGCAATATTACGTAGTATTTTGTTAGTCTGTTATCAATATCTTACAGAGAAGTATGTTTGATTGGTTCTGGATTTCTTTAAATTATTATCCATTTTAATATTTAGTAACTATTTATTTCTTTCTCAATATAACATTTCGAGTCATTCATGTCGATAAATAAGTTATTAAGTTTAGCACATCACTATTCTCAAAATCAGTGTTTCTAAATTTGAAATTAATTGACATTTCTATCAGCAAAACAAAACAAAGTTGCGTCAAATAATTATGAGCAAAGTTTGGTGAGTTTTAGATTTTTTCATAGAAATAATTATACAATGTCGAGTATATAAGCTTTTTTCATGTATTTTTATGTGAATTTTTAATATTTTTTTTACAATATAAACCAAAATTATTCACAATGCCACCAAAGAAAGGTAAAAAGGGGAAAAAGGGACCCCCTGAATCGGGATGGATGCCAGGATTTGGGACTAAGGGTACGTTAAAGTCCATAACTTTGAGGGAATAAGCTGGATACGAATAATTCTCTGATTTAGGACATAAAGTAACTTGTCTGATAGGCACAATATTAAGTCTAACTGGAGGCTGAACTCTAGTTTCATTTAATGTTAGGTAACGCTGTTGTCACTGTGAAATGCATTAAATAAGATTGATGTTTAAGTAGAGCAGTTATAGTTGTCTGCTTGAACTAGTTACTTACCTAGGTACTTTATTATTGTACAAAAATTTAAGCATAGGCTTTATCAATGGACCTATTTCTCATTTAAATAACAAATAGGTATGGGTAGCGGCAAACTGCTGGAGCATAATCACAGACAGATAAACTTGCACAGTAGACATTTTAATATTATGTAAAACTAGCTGTGCCCTGCAGTGACCTGCGGTTTATTAAGGATATATTTCCACAGTAAAACATAGCATATGTGTTAATCCAGGGGAAATTTTATTAATATTGCTCCAGCCATTTAGAGTGAAGAAGTAACAAACATTCACACTCACAAACTTTTCCCTCTATAATATTAGTGTGATTAATAAATTAAATACATAAAATTTGTTTAAATAATGAAACTGAGCCTTATTGTGTAACTTAGGTGAAATCTGCAATCTTTTCCATTTTATTTTTTAAAACATGGAAAAGAGTTCATCTATGCCACATTGTGTTTTAGCTTTGAACAGCATGGTATAAAGAGTTATTATTAGATAATTAACCCTTGAGTACTGCTATACATCCCGGCAAACTTCTTGAGCAACAACCATAGACAGGTAAGCTTGTTTAGTAGCAATTTTAGATACAAAAACATTTATGTACTGTGTAAGTTTATTTGTCTGTGGTTTTGCTCAAGCAGTTTGCCGCTAACTATACCTGCATCCATACGATCATCATCATCATCATAATCAGCGTATGGAGGTTAACTGCTGGACATAGGCCTCTAGAGATTTCCTAACACAACAGTATGCACTTTCCGCATCCAGTGGGTCCTTGCGTACATCCATATAGACCTACACAGGCATAACCTGTATCCTAATCACAAAATGATTTAAAGCTTATCTTAGAAATAAATTGCTTACTTGGAAATTGTTAGTTTTTAAGATATGACTCCTATCAAGGTTAAAGGTTCGTTTACATAGTTGAAAAGTTCTAATCTGTATCTCTATGACTGTCAAGTCTGACACAACACACCTCCTTAGATCAAGGTCATTTTGTTGAACACATTATTATGTAAAACTGGTTTCATGAATAAATGTATGGTTGATTTATCTCTGGTGCAACTTCTTTTTTTACGTTTATTTTTTCCAGAGCTTTTATTCTTACAAGATCACACCAGTCCCATTGTAACCTAACCAAAATTATCCCATTTCCAAAGTATTGGGCCGTGGGAGCAACAAATCACTGGTGCAATAATGCACTAACTAAGCACTTTTTACTTCGATGTTGGGTTTGTACCTCTGCGCCAACCACAATACCACAATGATATTTTATATATTCAACTTGTTATTTGCAATAGCCGTGCCACATACCCATGACTTTATTTTTATGTTTTAAGACTAGTAACTTATACACAATGTATAAAATGGTTTATGAACTTATAAAGCAAGTGCTGGTAATTATGATACAATGTAAAATCATTTACCTAGCCCCCTGTTACTAAGAACTGATTAAATTTAACAAATTATATCGTCACTTTTGTTTACTGAAAAGAACTGAACAGACAATTTGGTTTTTACAGGGTTTCTATTGAGGTCCTCAATTTTAAGAACATACAGCTAGCCAGGTGCTGATATTCCTTTGATTTCTCAGATTTGGATAGTAATGGTATTAGAAGCTTAGAAGAAATCAGAGCAATATGTGCGAATATCATGAGAATATGTAAAGAAAAAATATACTGTATGATCAGTTGTAGTTTAGAAGATAACGTTAATTAAAATTATCATCTATCACTCTTAAGGTTAAGACCTTTGAATATAATTTTTATCTATCTAACCGCCCATGCCTTCTTAATTTTTTTTTAAAGTAGGCATCTTTTAAGTTTGTTTTTTTTTATCTTCTTAGTGACTGACACACCCACACTGACGTAACAATGTGTTGTATTGAATAAATTGCTTGATAAATTTAAATATAAACTTGATTACCAGTCTGGTTTGCTTTGAATTGATAACTGCTGGTGATAACAGGACTAGTATAGGACCCAGTCTAGCAGCGAAACTAAGCCAGAGCGGTTGTTTCCATGTAGGTAGTACAAATTGATTTGTTTGTGCTTTAAGTATTCTTGATTGGTAGCTATTTAAAAGACCTTGAAAGTTTTATATCTGTGTAAGATATTCTTTATTTAAATAGACAGTTGATATACAATAAATCTATATCTTGATTGAGTTATTTCTTTTGATCAATATATCTTTAAAATTGAAACTTCACACTATACATTCTTATTGGAGTGATATTTTTTATCGAGCTTACCTTTTTGATAGTAAATATTATATTTTTAAACGGTTTTATTTAGCTCACCCCGTTTGTTTTATTCTTGGGTCAAATTTAGTAATTCAAATTTCACCCTCTTCCTGTCAACCGATTAATCTGAAATTTTGTATACACTTTGGATTTTTTTATTATGGTTATTACAATGTAATTTTCAGTTTTAAATATTTTTTTTCAGTTTCACATTGTTCCATGAAGACAAGAGAGATATTAATAATAATAATGTTAATTGATAGTATACTTTACTGTTATAATAATTGTATTGCAATATGTGCATTTGCCTGTAGTATGGACTCCAGTGTCCTCTCCCATACAACATTGTCTTAGCATTAGTACTGGAGTAGTACACAACAAAACATTATTTTTCTTAACAATAAAAGTAAATAGAACAAATAACAAAATTATATTATTATATTTGTGTGTAGTACATAACATAGTCAGCCAAAACTATTTTATTTTATGCTTTATTAGGCACTGTATAAGCGTTATTCTTGTCTACATTCACATCTATTTTAGACAACACTGGGTTCACTTCTAGTAGCCCAGTTAGCCGTACTATTTTGTGCCTTATTGTTCAGCGAATAAGTGTTGCTTTTGTCCACAGCCACCATGACGACCTACTTCCAGTACCCCACTCCCGAGCTGCAGCAGGAGCTGAAGAAGATCGCTGAAGCGATCGTCGCTCCCGGAAAGGGCATCCTCGCTGCCGATGAGTCCACCGGTAAGTTAGCTTTATTGTCAGCACTTAATGTTTGTTTTTCTCTGCTCTGGTTGAAGATTATTTTATGATATCGTTATGTAGTTTACGCAGCCTTTGAGTCTACCGGTAACTAACCTTTATGGCAAAGAGTTAAGGTTTATTTTAGTCTGCTCTCTTTAGAGATTGTTTTCTAATATTTTACAATGTAGGTAAGACAATAAGCTTTATTACCAAGTTGTAAGTTATATTTTAGTCTGTTCAGGGTTTTGGATGTTTGTATTTTTGATATTTAATTTATTGTCCTCCATGTGGTGGACAAGCATAACATGTACATCAAGTAGAGTTGATTTTACTTTTATCTCGTAGTGATGATGCAGATTCTATTAGACTTTTATATGAATTCAGCAAGGTTGTGTTATTGTACTGAATTCAAGGTTCAGTCTACTCGTAAATTATATCCATTTTCCCTCATTACTGGCAGTTGTACCAATTGCGTCACTCATTTCCTCAGATGATATTGTACATCTATTTGACTTTTTTTTTACTTGAAACTAATTATCTGTAAAGGTACCATGGGCAAGCGTCTCCAAGACATCGGAGTTGAGAACACCGAAGAGAACCGTCGCAAGTATCGCCAGCTGCTCTTCAGCACTGACCCGGTAATGCATATTCTTTAAAGTTCTTTTAAAATCTTCTTTGATGATAACACAGGTACAGGAAAGAAAGATACGACTTGTCAAGGACCGCACCGAGCCTCCACGCTTCAGAACTCATACCGCTTAAATGGCCTTTCAACCGTCTTCTGCGCATGTCAAACCACATGCTGCGTCAAGTCTCATCTTGCGTGGCGCGTATTATACGGCATACAGGGTTTTCCGATTGGAGTGCCAGCCAAAAGAGTGCCTTACATCTTAGGTACTAAAGATTTTGTCGAGTTTACTCATCATTAGCCTATTAATGTCTTCACACAGGCCTTCTCTTAGACATGGAATTTTAATAACAATTAAAAATGTCATGGGAAGTGCTACAGATGAACGAAAGAAGCGGCGCGCGGCGATATAATAAAAGATTAACTTTAAAAAGAACACCATTAGCCAGTTGTTGTGAAAGTTGGTAACTTCTGCAATCTCAGACCATTCGTACTAACCACTGAATTTGAATTGAATTCCACCAAATAATATTATTATATTCTGTAGTAGCTGTTAGGTGCATTGATATAGGTAGTGTTTACGTGATCAGGTCAGTGTAGGCATGTCAACAAGCGAGACTGAAATAGCAAACAGCTCATCTGCGCTGTATCTAAAGTGACCTTTGTCGTCGAATGCTTGTTTACAGCTATTTTCGTAAAAACAGCTAAGAAAAAGTTATCTCTATTTGTTTTTCTAGTACATGAGATTTGAGTCGCTGGCTATCGACTAAAAGGTCAGAAGTCAACGGTAGCATAAAGTCCTTTTTCATGTAAACATCCTTGTTGTGATATTTTTCTTCTCATGTTTTTTATCAGCAATTTTAAAGCAACAAGCACAAGTAATAAAAACAGATTAAACAGATGTTTTGTCCTCCCAAGCTCTACTAGCAAATAGAAACAGTAATATAGTGTTAATAGAATTCCAAGCCGCCCAGTCTGACAATTTTTTTGCTGTACCTCAACTCTGATCATATTTTAGCCTTTACCACCACACTAATAAGGTCCAAAATACCCAAGCCATCTCCGAGAACCTGTTCCACGAGACTGTTCGAGAAGGCTGATGACCGCACGCCCCTGGTGTCTTTGCTCGAGAACAGCTGTTCCAAAAACCTGAAAATATTTTAGTCTTTCCCCTTACACTAATATTTTATAGTTTTTTCCCCTTACGTTCCTTTTTCTTGCGTTCCAGTAAGATCTGGAACAAACTTCCCTTAGCGGATTTTTCTGTCAGTTATGATATGGATGGTGGTCTTCAAAGGGCGGCTATTCCTTCAGAGCGGGCAACGCTATTATATTCTATTTTTGTGCTGCAAGTGTTCATGGGCGGCAATGATCACTTTCCGTCAGGTGAACTGACACCTCGCCTGCATAAATATAAAAAAACACACAAATTCCTCAGGCCATCTCCGAGAACGTGTCTGGCGTGATCCTCTTCCATGGGACCTTATATTAGAAGGTTGATGAGAACAAGCCCCTGTGTTCTCGAAACCAAAACGTATTTTAGCCTTCATCATCACACTAATAGAGTCCCGAATCGTCAGGTCATCACCGAAAACGTGTCCGGCGTGATTGTCTTCCACGAGACCTTGTATTTTAAGGCTGATGATAACAAACCCCCGTGTTCTAGAAACCAAAACGTATTTTAGCCTTTATCATCACACTAATAGAGTCCAAAACCCTCAGGCCATCTCCGAGAACGTGTCCGGCGTGATCCTCTTCCACGAGACCTTGTACCAGAAGGCTGACGATGGCACACCCCTGGTCTCTCTGCTCGAGAAGCGCGGCATCATCCCCGGCATCAAGGTCGACAAGGGTGTTGTCCCGTTGTTCGGATCTGAGGACGAATGCACCACCCAGGGTAAGATTTAAATCATGGTCTGAACATTTCAGGTTCTCAGTGCACTTAGCAAGAACCAATATCGGATTATACTAGTTGAATTCGATCTCGATACACGTCAAATGTCAGGAAAAGTGGGAATGGACATTTGAACAGCGCCACAATAGACGTAACGAGCATTAAAAATCTTCCATACCGAACTTATTGACTTCTGCTGCGTATCGAGATCGAATTCAACTGTTCGAATTCGATGTTGCTTTATGCTAAAGGTACAGTTTATACTTCATTTTTCAAAATAATAAAATTCTACAATATTCAAATGGTTTTTGTCGCCAACACTTATCTAATGTCATTATTCTCAACCTAAAATGTCCCCACTGCCGGAACAAAAGTCTACCATATAGATACAAAAGGGAGATTGCAATGGGCCATGATCACCACGCAGGATCAGTGCGGTTTGGTCGGTGCTAACGTTTGCAGATGCAGTCGGGGCTTACTGCTTAACGTGCCTTCCGAAGCACGAGGGATCTCGAAGTAATAAGTTTTTGGTCACCCATCCAATGACCGGGCACTGCAAAAGTTGCTCAACTTCCACGATCACGGGCCAAACGTTTTATATCACCATCGAGCTCCTTTTCATAGTTTAAAAAATACTGAAGGTTTTAATACAAATGCCAAAATTATGGTCTTCACTAGTAATTACAAGATTACATCAGTTATTTCTCTTTCGTTTCTAGTTGTAACCCCGCGTTTACACCAAGGTGTAATACATTTATTTCACAATTTTCATACAGTGTCTTAATTTTTTGTTTACACTTCTTATATACATGTATAAAACATGTAGTATACGATACTTGCATCAAACTTGTTGGATACACAACATATGTGAAGTAAATAAGTGATTACTACTTGTCAGATACTAGTTGTCTATTCAGTGTAAAGGAAAGAATGTTTTAAACAGCCACAACAAGTATTCTGCAAGTTTTGTTTAAAACTAGTATATGACTTGTTTCTTGGTTCAAACGAGGGGCAAGTATTATTTGAGTTGTGATACTACATTTGCCCTCATCAGATTTTGAGAATGAGCACTCAAGTTTATTAAATAGATAGATAGATTAACAATTTATTATAACACCAAATACATAATTACATAACATTCACAAACAATACACTTAACAAATTAGCAAACTGAAGTGGTAGTGGGCTGGTCACATTAGCCGCAGAACTGACGGCCGATGGAGCCGTAAAGTTCTTGAGTGGAGACCGCGACTCTGTAAACGTAGTGTGGAACGCCCTGAGACAAGATGGGATGATGGCATTCGTAGGCTGGCTGGAGTGGGCTGGATGAGAGGGGGAGACCTATGTCCAGCAGTGGACGAGCATGGGTCGATGATGATGATGATGACACTTAACAAAAGCGTTGTAATTTGCGGTCTTATCGCTAAGAGCGATTTCATCCAGACAACCACTGAGTAAGAAAAGTTATACAGAGACCGTAGGTTGGGGTGTTATATGGCTTGGGCTTGGAATAAATAGTCACATGCATACATACAATCTACATCAAATATATTCTAATTAAACATGTGTAAAAAAATGTTAGTTTATTAGTACATCATGTTATCCACAAGTTTGATCGCCCAACTAAATTAGATATCCTTTTAGACTTATCTATTTTCCGGCACATTATCAGTGTCAAGAGTAAATTATGAAATGAACATTATTTCATAGCTGTCTCATTTTATCTTGCTGATAGCTGGGTCATATTATTGATGAACGCATTGGTAGCAGTCATCTACGTAGGAAAATTACTTGGTTTTTATAAAAGAACATTCTTGGTTGGTCAGAATTGTTAAATAAATGAAAAAAAAATCTGTCATCTTATCGCGGAGGATTACATTAGATAATGAAAAATAGGTAGCGATTGCAACCTTAATTCCTATCACGCTTCAAAAATACCGACGAATGTGTACGGAGATTATGCGTCATACTAATGTAACCGAATACATGGTAATCGCTAGTTAGTGCGTACTATATCCGTCATCACGCGAACTTCAATTTGAACAATTTCTTACTAAAAGCAGTGTGAAACAATTTTAAACTTTATACTTAAGTAGGTATGTACAAAGTTTAAAAGTCCAGTATCGCTTAAAAAGGACCGCGGTGTCGTGCCTGCTTGAGCGGCCCTGCGACTTCTTCGAGCTTTTCAACCGATACTGGAGCTCTACTCTCTTTCTCCAAATCAAATTTCGGCAACGAACGAATTTTAAACGAAATTTCGCCAGTGACTATTTCATCTTGGAACACGCAGATAAAGTTCGGAATCACAGACAAGTACCGTGAACGAATGGAATGAGTTATGTTTGTGAGTTCTTTTTGTCTACACTTTTTAGATTACGTTTTTTACTTCAAAACAAAAAAATTATTTTATGACAAAAATTTTGATTACACTAAAACAACCTCTTTTGACAGTGTTAGCCGACTAATTTGTGAAAGTTTATGCAATCGAATGTATGTCAACCTAAATTTGTTATGTAACACTTTGAAGTATTGGCAATACAATAATAAACAAAAATTTGATTTATTTGTAAATTTTTCATACTAACAAATGTTACTCTCGCTAAACAGCCTTAATTAAAAATACTGTAGTTGTAATTTTAGGTTTAATTTAAACAAAAATCCCATAACGAAAATGAAAAGGTAACACTTTTCATTTCGTCAATTTGCGGTTAAAATTTAGACCATTATCTGTCAAATTCAACTTTTAGTTCGAAAGTTTTGTGAATTAGATTAGGTTTGGAGAATTTAAATGTCAAACGATTTTCGGACGAATGAATTTTCGAAATGAAATAGAAACAGAGTAAGAAACGTGCGAAATTTTGATCGAAATTTTGTTTTTCGTTGAAATAGAGTAGGCCTCCTGGTCTTTTAAGTATGTAGATAAAGTTTAAAATTTATTAACACTGCTATCAGTGTGAAAGTGCTCGCCGCGACACTGCTAATCTGGTGTAAATCAGCCATTACTCAAAGACGTCATTAAAATTTAATCACTTTAATTCTTATTATAAATAAAAATCAAATAGCGCGCGCTTCCCTAACTTCCTGTTATACACTTCCGTCCCACTTCACGTAATTACTCCCACAAATTGCACGAAAGCGAGGGAAAAAATGTAACACATCAAAAAAAATTTTTTTCCATATACAGAGTCCATATAATTTAGTTACAATAATGACATCTCGTTTTGAAGTCCAAATTCTATGAGAGTTATTTAGCTATTACCTTGTTTTGTTGGCACTAGGCTTGGACGACCTCGCCCAGCGTTGCGCCCAATACAAGAAGGACGGCTGCCACTTCGCCAAGTGGCGTTGTGTGCTGAAGATTGGCCGCAACACTCCTTCGTACCAATCCATCTTGGAGAACGCTAACGTACTCGCACGTTACGCCTCCATCTGCCAGAGCCAACGCATCGTGCCCATTGTGGAGCCCGAGGTCTTGCCCGATGGTGAGTTATTTGTTTATAGGAGCTAAGATTGGACGCAATACGTCTTTATATCACTTCATCTTGAAGAACGCTAAAGCCGGGTCTCCAGCGCTTGTTTTGCCCTACACAATCAACAAAATCGTCTACACAAAACTTTGTTTCACTATATTTGTTTGAATCAACAAAGTTTTTGCTTTCCGAACCTGATGAAAAACCGCGTGGGTCGAGGGGCATAATATTGTTTAATCGGTAATTTATTCAGTCACTCGCTAACCGTAGCCACGTTCCAAACCAACGCTCCAAGTGCAACTTTTTACACTGACGTTTGAATTTTGAAATTAAATGAATAATACTTTTGTTAAATTTGACATTTGTTGCACCTGGATCGTTGGTTTGGAACGCAGCCCGGTAGGTATAAATGAGTAATAGACTACGTGTGTAGAGAAACATGTTTCAGAAATAAAGTTTTGGGTACGTGTTTTTGTTGAATGTTTTTTAAAAAAAACCTTTTAACGTACTCGCACATTACGCCACCATTTGCCAGAGCCAACGCATCGTGCCCATTGTGGAGGCCGAGGTCTTGCCCGATGGTGAGTTGTTTGTTTATAGAAGCTATAGATTGGTCGGAACATTCTCTCGTACCAATCCATCTTTGTTTATAGATGACAAGATAGTTAAGTCAACCTTTTTTTATGCAAATACTTTTTACTAACCTTTTATAATTATGTCTTTAAATCTATGGTTTGGACATAAAACCCCTATCATTTTTGTCTTAACATAAATATTGTCGTAAATAAAGCCTTTCCTATGGACAGAGTAGGAATGGATCACTAACCAACAAGCGGGCCCAGGGCTGATTGGTTGGTGTTAACGACTGCAGATGCATCCGAGACCATTGTTTTGATGTGCCTGTCTAAGAACGGAGAAGCTAGAGATAAAAAATAATGTTCAGCCGTAGTGTAAGTTGTTCAACTTCCACGACTGCAGACTGAACGCGTAGGCAACTGCGTGAACTAGCTCGTCTTCAAATTTTTTTCTTTTAAACACATATTGTCTAACAAGTTTCGTTCAATATTAACCCTTCAACTGCGGGAAAGCCTCCGCCTAAAATACCCCCCGTCTGCGGGACGATTGCGCAACCGCAGCGCGTGTTCGACGCGGTTTGAAATTTATTTAATAACTTGAAGAAATTGGTCGGTCGACATGCAGCTTAATATTTTATTTCAATTATAGATAGGCTATGTACCTTCTTTTTTAGTAATTTCCTATGGAAATTGTTTCAACCTTTTTATTTTTAACAGGAAACGTAGACAAAATCAATTTATGCACCTAAGGTGGCATAAATGCGATTTGAATAAATTATACGAATACTTGTGCTTTTCATTTATAACCTTTTCAAAGTTGAATAACAAAACAATAGATTTTTGCAAAAAATAGGATGTTTCAAGTATTTATTCATATAAATAAACTGTTTTAAAAATTACACTTACACTCCAAAAACTCGCCATTTTGCTACTCATTTAGACCGCACTTTCCATCACTCATAATACTTACTCAAGCCGCATAAAGCATTAGCTATCACTTATTTTAGTCAAATATATATTATTCTATCCTTATAATGTAAAGATATTACATAAATTACATAAATAACTAAATTTTTCGACAAATAAGGGAATCAGTACGCAATTTTTCAAGTTTTGCAAGGCCCGTTTTCAACGGCAAATTTAGAGTATTTTTAGACGTATTTAGGTTATGGAAATGACTGAATGATAAAGTAGACAAACTCAACTGTATCGATCTGACATTCTAAATCATAGCTCAATACAAAAATATTTAGGTTTCGGTGATAACATTCCTAAATGTACTTCTTCCTCGTACTTCACTCATTCTACGCATGTGTGCGTGTACCGAGTGGTATCTGCTGCGGAAAGTGCAGATCTGCACGCACGGAAGAACCATTATCTACTTAGGAGCAGATCTGCACTATTATATAGCGTGTTCATTTTGTGAGTATTTATCTTACTTTATTCAGTCTGTGACTCAAAAATATATTAAGAATTTTATTGTGTTATGAATGGTGTAAAAATGTATGAAACCAGTTTTATCAAATGTTATTACTTTAGAGATCTTACAGTGTGTGGTGTGAAGGTTTTGAATTATTATATTACCCCACTCCCCCCAAATCCAATAGTTCACGTGTTATATCTCTAAATATACTATTACATATATACATGTGATCAATAAATATTTTTGATTTCTTCCTCTCACTCACTCATCACTCTAATAAAACTACATGGTAGAGGTGATGCATTTTATCTATTACAAATATTAAATAACATTTACACGCAAACAATAACATTTCAAAATTATGTGAAGTTATGATTTTATTTATTATTTAAGCATTTAACTGCTAGATGTTAAATCTAAATAAAAGTTTACTAGAAAAAAAATCCACGCGGACCAGGCAGCGGACGGGACTCGAACCCGCATCCTTCGCTATCCGGGCGAATGCACTGACCATTATGCTACCACGGCCTTATTAGCCGCGAAATTTTCCTAGCCTTAAGCTGCAAGGCAGCGCCATCTCTTCGCATTGTAGGTAATCCACAATGTCAAATGAATACTTTTTCAAGTATTCAAAATTCAATATCGTTTATTCAGTCCAGGCTGTTACAAGCACTTGTGAATGTCGAAAAGCTACGCCATCGGTTCGCAAATCTACGGCGGGAGACCTTGTACTGATAAGAACCGGCAAGAAACTCGGCAAGGGCTGTTTTTTTCTCCCTGTATTATATACAGAGTCGTCAATTTGAAAAATGACTTCAATATGAGATAACTCATGAAGTCACTTTCCATTACAAATGTAAATGATAAAACAGTTATGACTATAATATAAAAAACAGATTTAAAAATAAAAAAAGTTTAAGAATGCCGTGTCCTACTGTTTAGGCATAAAAACAAATGTACCATTAAAGTTAAATACAACGATTAATAGTACCCAATGTAGCAAGAGCAGACTCATCTCCGCTGGCAGCACCCGTTCACGAGCATGACGCATGAACCAGCCATCGCTTCGCTCAACCATTTTTTAGGGAACGTAACGACCCGCCTCACACGACACATTAAACATTTGAAAGAAGAAATAGCAATTATAGTTATGATTTTATTTATTTTTTATGCATTTAACTGCTACATGTTAAATCTAAAGAAAAGTTTACTAGAAAAAAAAAAGTGTGAAGTTTTTAGCCTTTTAAATCCTCTAAGCTGTGGTAGTCACGCCAACATTGGTCGAGGCATAAATAAGTTTTGCACTGGCTACACGATATACTGGTGAACGTGTTTTTGTTAACAGCCAGACAGCGCACGCAACGTCCCCTTTTGCGCTTGCTGGCCTTGTTTGAAGTACGTTCCCCGTCTATAGGTGCAGTGACAGGGAAGTGATCTACCTCTCTGTTGAGCCTCACCAAGGTTCGGGAGCCAGTGTGCTGGCGTGGCCTAGATGTCACACCACATTCCTCCAGTATCTCTGCAGCTAGTGCATATCTAAATTGCCGGTGGGTCAGTTTCTGACTCCGTAGACCTGCCGACTCAATGTTAGCACAATGAATAATATAAGCATTGAGGATGCTAACATTGAGCATCCTCCGGAACATTTTCAGGTACCATTTGGTACCTCTTTTGCGTTCCAACAGGTACATGGCTAGTTTCTGATCTTTAAGATCGACACCACCCATGTACCTGTTGTAATCGCTTATCACGGCAGGTTTCGTGCATGGTTGACCGGCTCTGCGCCCTTCCACTACGCTGTTGTCGTGGAAAGTAGACACTGTGGTGACAAGCTTAACGTCTTTCCACGAAGTTACGGAAACGTCACCACAGTGTGTACTTTCCATGGCACCACGAGCCACCCGGCGTTCGTTTAGGTTCTTGATGATCGCCGGCGTGTTTTGTCGGCGTCGGTTCAGCGTTCCGACCACGTCAGTAGCGCGTGACTTCAAGTAGCGGCACAGCTCCACCGAATTATAAAAATTGTCCATGAAGACAGTGTAGCCTTTGCCAAGATAGTTTTGAATTAAATTCAACACTATCTTGGCAGTGCTGCTCACAAAACCTGTAACGAATGTCGGCTCGCGAGTTGAGCCTTTCCCGGTGTAAATGACTGTGTTTAAGACGTATCCAGTGACCGACTCGCACAGCTCATACGTTTTTATACCAAACCGGGCCGCCTTTGTGCGGATGCACTGGACCCAGCTGAGCCGTCCCTTCCAGAGAAGTAGCGATTCGTCAATCGCTAAATTCCTGGAAGGACGGTATAGTGCACGGAACTTTAAGTTTAGATATTGGATTACGGGGTGAATTTTTGCGATTTTTTTTTCTTCACCTCGTCCGACGATTTCGTCGTTATCGACAAAATGCAGAAACCTCATAAGAATGAGGTACCTGTCCCTAGTCATTATGGCCCGAAACCCTGGCATACCCATTATTCCTGTCTGCCAGTACTCTTCGATTTGGCCTCTAACGCATAAGCCCATTAAAATTATGACGGCAAAAAGCCGGTAGACTTCCGAAACCGATGTCTCAACCCAATCGTTTAATCTCGATCGGGCTGGTATACCAGCTTCGGAAGCCTGGGCAATTGTTTGCCAGGCATATAAATTTGTCTGGTTAACTATCGTTTCTAGAATATGTTGGTCCCACATTTGACGAAATATGCCAATCGGCGAAGTTTCGTCAATGGTGGGACCAACATCTTCTGAAAACGTCTCTCGTTGGCCGGTGAAAGTGGAGTAATCAGGACTCCATGAAAATTCATAATCTGTGATGTCTTGTTCTGCCTCGGCTTCCTCTTCAGGCGAAGCCTCGAGGAGATCACGAAGCTGATCGTTGGTCAGGAGGTCGGCTTCATCCGCTTCGCTTCCTGAATCGACCGCCAACTCTCGAGCTATTTCCTCGTCGAAGATCTCATTTTCCCACTGTAAACACATGCAAACCCTCAACCACAAGCAAACCATGCATATTATGCGTAACTGTTAGTAAATGCGGAGCCACGTTTTATCATAAATCACCACCAAGTCAGATGCGTCAATCTTATTTACTTATGATGAGCAAACAATGGTAATATAGAATTATTTTCATAACAATATTCACTTCAAATTAATTGGTATTTGTAACGTTAATGGTAACCACATTGTCCAAAAAAATTCATGCTTTAAAATGGACTTGCCCACCAAAATAATAATAAATCATTATATTTCTTATAAACATAATGTCAAAATACTGCCGTAATATCAAACAATCAGACCAAAGCTGCGTTACCATGGCTATTCTAGCATTACGAATGTAATAGGTCCACACACAAAACACGCCACACCTAAACCACGAGATTTTAGTGCAAGTTAGACTAAACTTACATCATTTTGGTTGGCCTCGTCCTCTCCGTTTCCTCCTGGTTCATCTGACTGAAAGGAGATGATTTTTGTTATTTTATTTTTGTTATACTATGCCTTTTTTTTACAAATTAATTAGTTTTAGTCGGAAAAGTTAGCTCAGTTCAAACAAATAATTACGTTTTGCCGAATTTGAGGCTCAGGAAATAGGCAACGACGGGCCAAGTGCATCTCGTCAATGATTTCGACGCCCTCGCCACCTTGTAACGGTACATCGGCTGGGGGCCGCCATGGCTGTAAATAACAAACAAAAATAATGTATAAATGTTAAAAAACATAATTTTACCGTCTTCATTCGATCAGCTGACCCTTTTTGTATGACAAGGGAAATATTTTTAGTAGGTACTTACACGAAGCCTCCCGGAACCTGTTCTTGCCATCACTACCTCAGGGCCAACGGTTAAGCTGCCCTGAGGAGTCCTCAGGACCTCAAGGGCTCTTATCAGTTGGTTGTTATCTTCCATCTTAAAACCTAGTTCAAGGGAAGCATACTTAATTAGTTTTCTATTTATTTGCATCCACTTCTTAAAAAATAAAAAGTAAACAAAAAATATACACCGTGACTTTTTAAATACCCGAGATAATTTACTTAGCATATATTGAGACATCGATAAACATCATATTTCGCGAAAAAACTTGCCAATTATTTTTTTTGTATGAACACAATTTAATTTGAATGTAGCTAATTAACATATACGTTTCTCTAATCGAGAATTTAAATTTGACTCTTTTTAAAAAACAGTGTATATATATAACAATCCGTACACAGTAATAAACTTGGATACGACAGCCGGTACGCGAACAACGAAGAAGACTGAACAAATTGATTAAATGTTAGCAACAAAGCACGTGTAAGGCGAGGCGGCACCTTTTGAAGTCGCGCACACGCACCTTATCAAAGGTGCCGCGAAAAGAGCGGCAATCCACAATAGCGGCGGCATGCTTTAAAGTCGGCCGGGTTGAGCGTTAGAGATGTTACTGTTTTTTATTTTGAATGGAAACCTTGAAAATATTACGATAATTTACTAAGACTGTGTAGGTACATCGTCGACAGCTGGGCTACCCGGTCATTGATTTTTATTCGGTAACCCATTTTTTTTCACAGGCCTAAAATACCTAGTATTTTATATTATTTATTATTTTTGACGACCTGTTTAGCTGTTTAGATTGTGACGTAAGGGTTGCGGGTTCGATACCCGCACAATCACAAAATATTTGTTGATAAAATAGGTATTTGTGCTTGTGTTGTGGTCTGGGTTTAGCTATAAAATTAGCTATTACATCTGTTTTATACAAGTAAATGATATCACGTATTATCTTTTCTTACGCATATAGTAATATTAAATAAAAATAGATATTCCATAATCATTACAAATTTCGGATTACTTTTATATCAGTCTCAACGTAGGACAGTATGATTTGCGTATTTTATTGTGAATAACATCTAATTCAAATACGGATCTTTACTAACTTCGGCATAACGGACCAAAAAAACAACACTCTGTAGAACGGTGACGCAGACACCGTGTACGCATACACTCCGGCCGCCATATTGCCTTATGAATGTGTGCGTGCGATTTGAATCATGTTTGCAAAAATAACACTTTTTACACGTAATTTAGCTTTTTTGTGTATAGTTCGTTATCACTGAATACACTAAAGAATTCATAATGTAAATTTGATAAAAGTATCATGCAGAATATATGAAGAACCTTCAGAATATTTTGAATTTTACAACCGTTACCAAAGTCAGTATTTTTATGCATGCACTTTATCAGCGATTATTTGATATCAGTAATGTCTTTCGTTTCGATTATATTTCTAAATACACTAAGACACTTTCTTAATACATTAATAACACTTTATTACTTACCTTTATAGAGATTTCTTCAATAAAACACACTTTCACAGAACAAGAAATTTTTAGTTGCGAACTTCCCGGTGGTCGATTTTAAAATCGTCGTACTAACGGTTGTTTGGTCATAAGAACGACTTCACTGCAATGAGTGAATGGTTTATTCATCTGGGTTTAAAATTCAAAAGACTTTGAACTGTATTACATTACATTTATTTCCAAAAATGCAAAAAATTGAATACGGGTGACGAGCGAGCAGATCTGCACTTCCCCAAACGGGCTATACTCACGAAGGCGTGCAGAGCTACACTTACGCTGTTGAAGGGTTAACAGCTAATTGTCCACTAGTTTTCCACTTCATTGTTTGGTCCTTCGAGCCGGATCGCTAGTTGAATTTTATTGATGCCGGTATCCCAAGCGTCTGTCTGTAGGCTAAGGCCATACAGTGCGCCCAAGATCTTGAAACCTTAACTAGTTTTAGTTAGGTATAAATAAGCGTTTTGTTTATAGAGGAGGACACATGAATAAGACCTTTATATTTTTGTTGTATCGCTTTCCGAGTTATTGTTAATTATAACGATCCCTTTATTAAGCTATTTTTACGTACTTTGAAATCCTGTTTGTAATCATTTCACAATTTATTTAACTTACCAGCAGCGCCCTCCTGTCAATGTCATCAAAGTGCCACAGGATCTTGTTCACACTGGAATTTATTATCATACCTTTTTCAACAATCTTCCCACTGTCATTTCAATTGACTCGTGCCCTATTATCGACCTTGTCATAATGTTAACATCAATTACTTGTCATCTCCAGGTGAGCATGACTTGGAACGCGCCCAGAAGGTGACCGAAACGGTGCTCGCTGCCGTTTACAAGGCGCTCAATGATCACCATGTCTATTTGGAAGGAACTTTGTTGAAACCCAACATGGTAAGTGTTGTGTCTACTACGAAAGAGATAATTTGAGTGTTAACAACGAATTAGAAATGATATCGACAGCAAAATCGGCGTTGCTTAAAAATTAACATTAAACACAAACTAAAAATTTTGGTTCTCCACTGTCGATATGGAATACGAACTGCGCTAAAAAGTGGGTTCTACGCAAACTGCGATCAAGTGGGCGGGGCGCAAAAACTGCAATCAACACTGGTTCGGTTGGGATTTCCGTTTAAGATTATCTTATCCAATAAAAGGATAGCCGAATTTATTTGCAGGAATATGTTTCGTCAAAGTATTTTGATTTTTCTGTGCGCAAGTCGCGTTAGTATTGAAGTTTATATGTATGAGTTTAGATCCCTGTTTTAGCGGCCTTTGTTAGAGAGTCATGCTTCCATATCATTTCAAATTCGTTGGGTATTAATAACACTTAGAAGAGCAACGCGTGTTTTTTGAAGTGAAAGCTTAGCACTGTTGGGATTTGAAACGCGATGAAGCGAAAATTTCATTTCAAGCGAAAGATGATTTTTAGCTTAGAAACCAGGTATCTGTAATTTTGTAACTTTCTGCAAGACACAGATAGCCGAACAGTAACGGTCTTGGGTCGACACCAAATGATCGGTGGTTCGATCATGAGCTCGGTTATTTTTTAATTGTTAATTTTTCTTTTATTGAGGAATATTTTTCGAAACAATTTAAGTATAGAATATTTAATGTTGCCAAGTATTTTACAGTACCTAGTCATGAAGGACTTTTACGTGTTCCCATTTTTGTAGGTTTCACTTCTATTGCATGTGAACAGCACATTTCCGTTTTTTTTAAATAAAGAAAGAGTTGCTATAGTTTTTCTAGTTTTTTTTAAAATGAGAATCTTTTAGTTCTTTGTTGTTGTAGACTACACGAGAAAAATAAAGTATGATACGCACACAGTCACAGAACACAGAAAGAGGTTAGAAGGGCCTTGTGGGCGGAGCAGGTACGCCACTGTTGTGTGAGCAAATGCTCATAACTTGTCAAATGTCAACTTTGGCTTGTGCACAATAATCGTGGTAATGGCACTCTTATGTAGGTATCTAGTTATTTGATTTATGGTTGAGAATGAAATAGAAAGAATAAAAATAATTATAAACCAATAATAAAGTATTTTAATGTTATTCTTATATTAGGTACAAATAAAAGAATATACGACAATTCACCGTTTAATGTTGAATTCAAATAACAGTCCACTGAACAGTTGTTATAACTTTTTTGTTACTCCGTTTTTGTACAAAAAGTTCACAGACGCGTGTCTTAAGCAGATGGAACTCGCGCTTGCAGGGGCCCCAGATATAGTGTCCGTGAGCGGGGTCTATATGTGCGTTGCTCGAGCACAACTTGTATTCAGATTACCTTCTATACTATCTATTTTGTAATAAAAGCGCCCTTATTACTAGACAGCAATCTGTTCCAGGCGATCCCAGGGAAGTTATGAACATTTTTTTTCTATTTTTTCTCCAGGTGACTGCTGGACAGTCTTGCAAGACTCAATACACTCCCATGGACATCGCTCGCGCTACAGTCACCGCATTAATGAGGACTGTGCCCCCCGCGGTTCCCGGTAAGATTAACATACTGTTGTTAGCTATTAACAATGATGCAAGTGGAACATTTAGTATTATTAATAAGAATGTCCTTAGATCCAAAGAAAAAAATACTAGTAAAAATCCCACTCGGACCAGGCAGCAGACGGGGCTTTGATGGCCGAGTCGAATTTCTTAGGGTGCAGGACAGCGCCATCTCTTCGCAGTGTAGATAACCCACAATGTAAAATAAATACCTTTACAACTGCAACTTGAAAATGGAATTTTATATTTTTTTTAGTATTTTACGGAAATACAATAATAAGCAGAATGATACTAATCCACTTTTAATGGACTCCACAAAAATGAGTAAATAACATGAGATTGTATTTTTTTTATTCCTCCCTTGCAGTGGGTGAAAAATCCTCATGGATACCCCACAGCCTAGCCACATTTATGTCAGACTCTTACGGTCTAAAAAAAACACCTTTAGGGGCTTCCTCTGGCCGGGCACGCCTTTAAGGCCTCATCGGATGCGATCGTTTTCTAAACCTTGTCAAATACTTTACTAGCCTTCCATTTCCTAATAATCACTAAACCACCCACCAGGCATCACATTCCTCTCTGGCGGTCAGTCCGAGGAAGAGGCTTCCGTGAATCTGAACGCCATCAACGCGGTAGAAGGCCTGAAGAGGCCGTGGGTGCTGACTTTCAGCTACGGGCGCGCGTTGCAGGCTTCAGTGCTGCGCGCGTGGGGAGGGAAACCGGAAAACGTGCTGGCTGGACAGCAGGAACTGCTGAAGAGGGCGAAGGTGAGACTCGAAACTATATTCCCATTGTAGTATTCTTAAAAAAGGCACCTAAATCCCTAGGGAGGACAAAAGACTACGTTGGACATCAGGTGTTCGAAGTAGGAGATCAGTTTTAGCTAAAAACATAGGACTGTTTTACTGCAATGTCTGAAAAGTAGCAGGAACTGTTGAAGAGGGCGAAGGTGAGATTGACACTTGAAAATTGCCAAAAACTATAGGCAAATTGTTAGGGATGACTAAAATCGTGCTTTTGACAGCGGCAACTTGGAATAGCTGATCTTTCTTTGCCAAGAATTGACTGTTTCCTAACAAAGCCTGAAAAGTACTGCTTGGACAGCAGACTTGAAAAGGGCTAAGGTGAGTCTTTCTTAACTGTCTACAGACATTCAAGTAAATTCACAAGTCTTTAGGTGGTCATTTTCAGTCATGAACTCGAGACAGTCAAGCCTAGAAAGTAATGCTAAGATAGCAGACTATAGATTACCTAAAAATAACAGGCAATCTACTAAGGAGGCTGAAAACCGAGACTAATACCTAAGGTTTCAAGACTGTGTTACTACAAAGTCTGAAAAATCGTGCTAAACAGCAGGCTGAAAAAAGCAAAGGTGAATCTTTCTTGCTATTATTTAACGATGAACTTGGCCTGCGACTTGCAAAAGTCTAACAGCTGAACTGTTTGAAATCATGAAGGTGTGGTTGCTGGAATTACTTAAGAGCGCAAAAGTAAGACTTTCTATTGATTTACCTCTAATTTTTCTAAAACTAACTAACTAAAAGCCTAGAGAACCTGTCGACAATTAGAACTCTTGATTAAGACGGGTCCGGCTGACAATAAGTACATTGCAAGAAAATACCTATGTAGTAAATAATCCACATCTAATATATATATTTTTATAGATAGGTCCGACAAATTACTCGGCCCCACCTGATGTTAAGTTACGGTGAAGTCCAGACGTGAAGATAGCTGGTACAGCAGTTCTATCTGCCACACCACCCATCCTCACCGTGCCGACCAGTACCCCTAGCACGAACCATTATCGAATTCGAATAGTTTGCAAACCGAAATGTCAATGTCAAATTTTGTATGGAAACTTGAACAGCAGCGCCACTTTGGACATAACGGGAACTAAAAATCAGTACACATTTCGTGCTAAGGGTACTGCATGTGGCTTTTTCACGCCTCTTTCAAAGGATACCAGGTTGTAAGGAAGATACACGTGAGCGGGCAGAGCATTCCATTTACGGATAGACATTCTCTAATTCGCATTATGACTAAATTGCACATTTGCATAGTAGCAAATTGCCTAATTTTTTGTTACAAGAATAAAACGACTTAGACTTAGAGCCGCCATACACGAGCAGCTTTAATGTTTTTTGCATTGTAGGCTTTGTCAGCCGGACCGATTAAGATTAGATTGACTGTATTTAACCACTAGGTCACGATTGACTCTTAATTGCAACGCAAAACATACTCAAGAAATTATAAATCGCTGAAAACTGCCTTTCTCTATTTATCATAAAAAATATACTTACATTAAATTATGATTGTAGAATTATGTAGACTGCTTTAAATAGGATACCCTTTATATTGTTTGTTGCCTGTAGCCTTTAAATGCTTGCTTTTGTAGAATTTGTACTAATTTCGCTTTGTTTTTTATTTCCTCCACAATGCACATGTTTTCTGCACAACGCAACTGCGCCGTGACGTCACGTGACCACATCACACCTACAATTCACCATCTATTCTTAATCTATGAAAACGATCTTTGACTGTCAATATTGTTCGGTCCTTGTTTCGAAATCGGTTTAAAAATGGAACTTTAATTTGTTTTTAATGGCCTTTGTTCTTAATTTTTTTAACCTAAAGGCTAACGGTCTTGCTGCCCAAGGAAAATACAAGGCTGGCTCAATACCATCTTTGGCCGCATCCAAATCTAACTTTGTTAAAGCTCATGCTTATTAAATCAACCTCCTACTTAATATTTATATCGAAAATTTTAAATACACAATATTTTTTATTGTTATTGTCTCCTCGAATCATGGACTGGATTTTAATCACGAATTAAAATCATTTTTAATTTATTATTACATTCGGTAAAAAGCAAAGTACTTATATACATTCCAATAGCTTTCTATGGCTGCTATGATAATTAAAAATGATTTTTATGTTTTATTTAATGTTGCTATATGTAGCTAACTTCTGTTTCCACTCTATTACAAGATAAGCTTACAGTTCATGCAATCTTTGTAGTTCGGTCTCATTTGGTCTTTAAATAAAAATGTATACACCACTTAAACTTATACGTGTTAAGACAGCACAGTGCTTAGAAAATGGATTTTATTGCTGCATATATAAATCGTTAGCAATGACCATATGGGATCAGCTGTGACAGAGTATTATAGAACTAGTTTTGTTTCAGATGAGATGTACACAACTTAAATTTGTAGTCTGTCTTGTTTTTTTGACATATTCTTGCTTTGTTTTGATTTTCTTTAGCTCTACTTAGCTAAATAGTGCTTCGTTTTTTATACGGCAATACGTCGAGTTACCACAAGGTGTCGATTTTTCTCAATTAATTAAACATCTTATATTAAACAAGAGTTCAATATTAGTTGGTGAAATAAGACAGTTTTTGATAACTTGACATGTGGCTGAATGTACTTCGCATGCTGTTGCCTTTACGTCTGTTTTACCATTGCCTGATTACGGAGACATGTCAAACATGTGACCACTGCAACTTGAATTTTGACAGTTATGTCAACAGACAACTAAGATTTGTTGGAGAAATTTGTAACGTATCATGTTGCGGTGGTCACGCTACGATATTGATATCCGATTGATGAAAAATATGACAATAATTTGCATTTGAAAAAAAAACAAGACTGCAATCAGAGAAGCTCAATTATTAGTTAATGGTGAAAATGATTCTAATGGCAGTTTTGCATTGGTATCGTTGCTGCCTTCAGTAGATTAAAAACAGCACAAGTAATCTATAAATGTTTAGATGGAGCACGTCAACTTGATATTAGCTACTGCCACCGTATCAATGGCAATATTCTATAAAATGTTCATGATGAAACTATATCGATGATTCAGCAATAATTCAGCATTCCTCATTTGAATCTTATCAAAAGTAATTCTAACGCTGTCTCTTGTAAAGAGTGAATAGTTTCATATGATTAACAATATAGCTTGTAAAGAGAGTTCTATTTAAAAATAAGCTTCCTAAAGTAGAAGTAGAACACATATCATAATCATAAGTTACATACGTACAATGTGTTTATAATAAAAATCATTTTTGCATGGGCTTTTAGTATTGAGCCTTGTGTTTACCCTAATGCGTCACCTTGTGTGCCATTTGTTTGTTAGTGCAATAAGTATTTTATAAATGTTAATAAAAGTGTTTTTTATTATTTGATTTTCTTTATTCATTCCTCTACTTTCCTTCTTGTGATTAATCGAAGAGCTTTTAACGCAGTGTTTTTTTAGATATCAATCAAACGACATTTGTAATTCTGTAGTACTATCTTTATTATTTAAGAGGGGGCGGATCCATATACCTAACTAAAGATACCTTATTTACACTATTAGAAAATTAGATAGTACACAGATCCATGAACAATAGATAGGCTTAGAAGATTTAGTAAACACGCAAATTTAATATTTCTCGGTACCTTTCATAGGGTGAAAAAGTCTACGCAGTAAATAACATTATAATATGATTAAGTATTTATTCGTTGAAAAAAATATATATAAAAATATATAAAACTTAAATCTAACATAACAACGCCTTTTGGAAACAAATAGCAAAGTGGATTAGCATTAGACAGCCTTGTTACTGGAAGTCGTTGATATTATGCCAGACCCTAATTAAACTAAACTAATAAATGTGTGTTATATGATTCCAACAAGTAAATCTTTGGAAAGTAATTATTATAACGAAACGAATACATCCGCTATCGAAAATCTAAATTAAAATCAACTTTAGTCGCCGTATATTGTTGTTGCAATAACCACAATTTAAATTTCTTTTTGAAATTAAATGTTGACGTTGAATTGTTAGCCCGCAAAGGTCATTCCATTCCGCTAGTAACAATATTCTTGCACATAGGTCAAGTGCACGATGCTACTTCCATTGATTTTTTTTATGTAAATGACACGAGACGACAGAAATTTCGATTCCACCAGGGTCCAAGTCCAAGTCGACATATTTCACTGACTTTGAGGCAACGTTTTTTTATGGGGTTATCTATTTACTGCACCGATTTCATTAATATAATATTCAATACTGGTTTTGCTTATGGGGAATTTTTCTTTGAACGCAAATCAGTGTTATCAACAACATATTAAAAAATTATATGGAAGCATACTATCTAACACAGGCCACTAATATAAGGTTCCAAACCTTAGATTAAAACAAAAAGGGAAGATACGGTACGCTCATACTATATATATATATATATATATATAGCATCAAATAAAATATGATCCAACTCAACACATAAGGAACTCTCACACACGCACACGTCTGTAAATAACATTCAACCGAGCGAGCGAGACAGAACTGTATGCTTCAACGCAGAGCGAGCGAAACGGCGAATCTGCTTCCGAGCGCGAACGGCTGAGCTGTATTGTTGTCCTTTTCTTGATAACAAAATGGCGATTACGTAAATAACATTCACGACAAACCAAAATTGTTATTTGATTTTGAACAATTTGTGTGCTTTATAAAAGCATCGAAGGCATTGTTTTACCTTTATAACACAATATACGCAATATTGTTATATTTAGTGTACATGCAGCGTGTTTGAATGTCCAATTGTGAATACAGCGAATTGTGATCGTGCACCACAATTTAAGCGGATCACTTTTGAGCCGCGAGTGCCGTATCTTCCCTTTTTGTTTTAATCTAAGTTCCAAACACATACATCTGAACTTCAATACTATCGCAACATGCACACAGACTAAACAAAATACTTTGACAAATCAAGTATCTTTAAATGAATTCGGTTATCCATTTATTGGGTGAAATTATTTGAAACGAAAATCCTAAATAATCCCATGATCGGCGTGTTGATCACAGTGTTTTCGCCCCGTGACACAAGCTAGACTGGCTTAAAAATATTTTTCTCTACCTCTATACTCACAAAAATTTTTGACCTTCGCTCCGTGTATATGCAATCACACACAGCGCTGACTTCTGTTAGATTATAATTTTATCTACACCGACACTGGTATCGATTCTGACATGATTCTCTAAACTTAAATTTGACAACAGTGCATCCTTGTCATTCTCTATACAGAATGAAAAGGAAGTGTTAAATTTAGTTTAGATAATCACGCCAGAATCGGCACCAATGGTTGTAAGTATTTGAACCCACCACAGTAGTTTCGCTCTTAAATAATAAAATGTCAGCTCTCGTATGTATTGTGATTATTAACTCTATTTATAATAATATCATCAGAGAATCGAAAGGTACGTACCGTTTCGATTGCACAGACATCAACAAATGAAGATGTCCAAAACTTTAAAACCACAACTTTATTGCAATATCATATAGGTATATAACATTCACAATCGTTTAGAAAAAAAAATATAGTAATTTGATGAGTAGCTGTATGTATAAAGAAAAAGAAAGAAATAATTATATTAACCTTAATTAACAAGATTAAACAGTACTATAACAAAAACCAGTGGCGTAGCGTAGTGGGGGCGGCAGGGGCGGCCCTCTCCAGGCGGCACTTCTTAGCCCCTTAAGCGGCATAATTTTACAATAAATGATAAAAATATTTCAACCATTGAAATAAGAGGGCGGCAAAATTGTCCGTCGCCCCGGGCTGCCGACACCCACGCTACGCCGCTGACAAAAACAATAAAAAAATAAGACCAACTAGGTCCCTGCCTCAGCATACCCAGCAGTCCCTGCCAATTGCTACTGCGCAAGCTTCTTTATCTATGATCGTTGCTCAAGAAGTTTCCCTGGGCGTATACCAGGAAACGCAAAAAGTAAATTTTTCTTCAAAAATTTTATTGAATTAGTCATGTCTTAACGCATGTGGCCCCCTCAGGTTCGAGTGGTCTAGAGGCTCCAGACGGAGAGGAGACTCCCCCCGTGGGGAGACGCCATCCGCCTGGAATACCTCTAGAGGCACTCGCCAATTCTCGGCTTGAGTTTCCCTTAGGATCTCGCCGTTCCCAAACCCGGTGACGCTGTAAAGGTCATCTGCGATCAACAGCATACACACTCAAAAAAACGCATGTGCGTTGTTGTGTTATTTTTTCTCAAGTTGTATGGTTATTTAAGTCTCAAAACATTTCATTGATCTTTTGTGTTTTCATCGTTTTTAGGCAATATGAATTATTATCCGGACAAAGTCGTGATTTTGAGCACCTAGGAGAGTTGTGACAGGCTGTCAACAACTCTCCAAAATGCATACAAACTAATGAGAAGTGGATGCAATGCCTAGAATGCAAAGGCATGTCACACGCAGATTGTACTGGAGGCGAGCTTGCAATACGTTTCTCATAATTATATAAGATTTCATCAGATTTTCGACTGAATATAAAATCGAAGATCTCAAAGCCCATAATTATATAATCACTTTTAATGGCAATGCTATATATAGGTATTTTATATAGTCAAAGATTATAATAATATTACTTATGATAAGAAAAGAAAAACATATTTCATGATTTTTAATGTGTTGGTGATTCTTAATTCTCAAATAGTCTAAATATAAAGTTGTCTCAACTTACCTCGGTGATAGGGGAGTTGTGACAGAGGCAGTAGTTTTACTTTTTGTTGATTTTCTCAATAACCGTAATACTTTAATTAATTGTGATAACTGATTTGAAAAGAGAAGGAATAGTGCTATATTTATTGACATAAGCCATAACTGTTGCATGAGTGAGATAATTCCCTAAAATTAAAAATTGACACAACTCCCCTAGCTCTCCCCTACGCTTAGTAATGATTAATATAATTATAGTTGTGCTATCATTTTTCCAATGTTAACAAAATCAATATAGGACAATAGACGATTGTACCTCTGGCTTGACGACATCCCCAACATGGGGTAACGGGTTCAATTCCCGGTCTCATAAAACGGGTTTTAACTAGGTACCTATGTGATTTCTAGCCACATAACGAAATGTCACTGCATTTAATTTACAAAATTAGATTAAGCTGAACGCGTTGCAAGTACCTAAGAACTTTTAGTCTGCGTTCTACATTATCATTTGAATAAAATTTATTCCGTATTGTTTCAGGGTAACGGGCAGGCGTCTATGGGCAAATACGTCGCCGGCTCTGTAACAGGTGTGGGCGCCGATGCTGGTCTGTTTGTAGCCAACCACGCTTACTAAACAATGACACACATCACGCTAAACATTATTACGCGTAGCAACACTTGCGTTCGTTAACCGCAACACACAAACGCGTGGCCCGCCATTTTGTTTACGGTTAACCACCAAGAGAGAAATAGCAATCTCGAGATTCTTTTCCTATCAATCCAATATTGAACATCGAGGTTTTTAGGCATTTTTTTTTTACTTACTGAGATTATTTTGTTAGGGTAACACTTAAAGACATACTTACCTCGAATACGTTCAATCCAAGTACGCATAAATAGTAAGTATAAAAGTTTATCCAGTGTTTAAGCTATAAAATGCTATTAATTACGTATAGATGTAGTGTTTTCGGTCTTGTATCTTTGAGATTATAGACGCCATCGTAATTTAGCTTCATGTTGATGTAAACACACGTAAGACGGAATTTGAGAAATTCTTCTATTTGCTTGCAAAAATGAACTGTTTCACCACTCAGTAACGTCTAGTAACTTACATTATATTCCAATATGACAATATTTTTAAAGCATTTATATTCAAATTTGTATCCATGAACTCCAAATAATACAGTTCGGTTTTGCAAGTGAGTGTTAAACAATTATGTACCTTCTTTAGGAAGTAATAGAGTTGATGTTGTTAAAACGAAATTTAAAATTTTTATTTGTTGATGAAATCATGTTGGCTATTAAGTATTACTTAATTTGTAATTCGTTTATCTTTCAGTCTTAAAATTTATCTTTATATATAATATTTATTGTCAATTTAGTTTATAATTTTGATATTTCTAAGACTATAAAATTACAATATTGATCAGTAATGTAGTTTGTTTTATTTGATATTGTAGTTAACCCATCCTTAATACATATTATTGTACTCATTGTATAGTAGGCTTAAGTAAATTATTTATTTTATTTTCACGAGAGAATCCGAATTTAAAATGTTACTATTATAAATAATGGTAGGTACATACTTATAATCTTACTATCTTATTCATAAAAAGATAAAATGGGTTTATTAGCTTGTTATAATGAGTATCCTAAAAAGCAATATTCATAAACGTCAAATAACGCTAAAAAGCTTTGTAAGTATGCAATAGCGGCTTAGTAACAGGATCGACCCT